GCTGCAGGACGGCGTGGTGCTGCGCGGCGACCTGGAAATGCACGGCTTCCAGGCCGTCAGGGAGTTCCGCTTCGGCAGGCTCCGCTCTACCTCGTGGAAATCGGCGAGACGGCCACACTTCAACTGGACCCCTTGAACGAGGAGCAGCTGAAGGTGCTGGGAAGCATGACGGAGAGCACCGTGCCGGGCACCATCGTCAAGCTGCTGGCCGTGACGAAGGACGGCCTCGTGGAGGCACAGTTCCTGAAGGAGAAGCTCTGCGGCCCCAACCGCAGGGCCATCACGCCGATGGCCGTGCGCTTCACCTCCCGCAACTTCTACCCGCAGGACGTCTTTGCGCGCAAGCCCACCGAGGAGCCCGCGCAGCCCGTGGAGACCGCGCCCGTGGAGACCGTGGAGCCCGTCGAGACCGCGCCCGTGGAGACCGCGCAGCCCGACGAGCCCATGGAGCCCGACGAGCCCATGGAAACCGACGAGTCCGCAGAGAACCGCGAGGACGGCGCGGAACTCAGGAGGGAGATCGCCCGAGATCAGGCGACGAGGAGAGCGGCTTTGCGTTCGGCTCGGTCGCCAAGTGCCGAATCATCACGGACGACGACGTCCGCGAGGTGAAGGAGCTGCCGGACGGCGACAGGCTCGAGGGCGCGAAGGTGCACGTGCGCCTGGCGAAGCTGGCGCCCATCGTGGACAACACCCGCCCTGCAACGGCTCCCGCGACGCCGCGCGCTCCGGCCGTGCAAGCTCCGGCCGTGGAAGCCGCGGAAGCTCCAGCCGCGGAAGCTGAGGAAGCTCCGGCCGTGGAGCCTTTGTCCCGGCCCTATCCGGAAAATCCCTTAACAACCCCCGCCGACCCCCGAGGAAACCTGAATCTCACGCAGCTCTCCGACCCCTACCCCAGCATCGACAGCGGCTTGCACAACAGACGGGTCAAGACCGGCGACCTCCTTTGCAAGCCCTCGGGGCGGAGGAATACCAGGAATGGAGCCTTCAGGCTTGCGGTCTCGATCGGTCTTCGCTCTGGCCTTGGGCTTCGCAGCCAGCGTCGCGGAACCGCCCGGAGGGCCGGCCAGTTGCTGCAGGCTACTGCTGATGCGCTCCATGGCGCTCTCGAGTGCCCGGAGCCCAACTGTCAAACACAACATTCGGGTCTCGGTCCGGAGCCTGGCTGGGGGCAGTGAGGAAACCAAACTGATTTTCAGCGACCTCAACGAGAGCTTGGGCTAAAGGCAGGCAGGGGCGATCCCCGGAGCGGAAGTCGATCTCAGGAACCTCGGGGTGGTCGAAGATGACGGCCTCAGACAAGGAAGGGGCGAGCAGCCCAAACCACACTTTCATGCGCTGCCCGGCTTCAGGGACGGCCCTATCAGAGCTGGAAGCAACAGCTACTTCCACGAGAGTGGGCTTTTGGAACGGGCCCGGGGGCAAGCGACGATCCTTAGTTCCTTAGCTTTGCGGTCCCAAGCCTTCCGCGGGAAGACCGCCAGAGTACGCTCATCCAGATTTCATTCAGAGATGCCACAAGGATCACGGCGACGGTCTTTCCCTCGCCTACGGTTAACACACCGACCTCATACGAAGAATTGACATCCGAGCCGGCGAAGACAAAGAAGAGTTCACGAGGCCGCTCGGCTGCCTCTGACTCAGTGTCACCCTCAGCTTCAGACATCCCGAGCGGTGGGGGCTCGGAGCCCGGCATTGGTGCAGGCTAGGCTGGCCTCCCACTGAGTGGGAAATCCGCAGAAAATCGTGCCCTCAAGAACGACACCGTTGGGCTTTACGAAGCTTCTCAAGCGAGAGAAGGAGCTCACCAAAAGAGGCGGGTCGTACACAATTCCTTGGTGATCACGGATTAGCACGTACAGTTTTGAGCCTAAGGGATTCTCCTCACGCCCGCTGTTGCCTCGATGCTCTCCGGCGAGAGCCCTCCGGAAGAACGAACCGATCTTCTCAGCAATGGCCCTCCTGGTCAGAGATAAGCCGGCTGGCTGAAGGACCCGAAGGCAGTGGAGGAACAATGTTGCTCGACGCAGCAGGCTGGGGCTCAGGGCTTTGCGGGTTGTAAGGGTTAGGGCTTATAGGAGTCCTGGTAGGGGTTTCCGCTGCAGAGTTCACTCCTCCCGACTCTCCCTCCAAAGACACAACCTGATAATCAAGGCGGCTTTCCACAAGCCGGTGCAGGGCCTGCAGTTCGCGACCCTGACGACGCACCTCCAAGGTGAGCTCGCGCAAAGCAGCGGTGATCTGGAAGAGGTCGGCCTCGAGATCACCCATACAAAGTCACAGTGTGGCGGTAAAGAGGGGCAGGGCGAAGCCGGAGTGCAGCAGCCCGTTCGCGGACTAGAGCAGACCACCACACCCTTAGAAGATAGACCACGTCTATCACCGGGCCCAACAACAACCCTATCCCTATTCCCACCAGCAAAGAAGGCCAATGCAGGAAGTCAGGGAGCTCGGGCACCAAGCAGTCAGGGGACAAAGGAGCCGGAGGCAAATCAAAGGCCGGGAGCCGGTCCTCGACAGAGCGAAGCAACAGTGAGGCCAGGGACCCTCCGAGGATGGACAAGGGGACAGGCCTAAGGGCCATCAACACCTTAAGCCGAAAATCACTGCACTTCGCCTTAGATAGCATGCTGAAGACATGGTGCGAGAGTCTTCTGCTTCTGTAGGAGGGAATATGAGGTATTACATTCTCGGCCGGCGAGGCACCCAGAAGACCACAGCGCCTCAAACGCGTTACCTGGTGCCTGGAGATGCCTGGAGCACTATCTGTTCCATTGTCTTCTCATGCCACACCAAACAAAGTGTGAACACAGCCCATGCGGTGCTTCAAAGGCAGGATACTGTCCTTCGCTTTTCTACCAGTGCCACGGAATTTGCCCGCGGCCTTGCGTAGACCAGCACATAGGAGAAATTGAGAAGTAAGGAAGACCTGCAAAGAGAGAGCTAAGTACTCCCCACACTCTTGACCCGCCCTCTTGAATCCGTTGCCTGGCCGGCCTCTGTTGTTCCCGAGGCAGAGGTGTTCACGAGTGCGCCAAGGCTGTCAGCAGTTGGTCCGGGAGCAAGATAGACCTTGGATGCCATTGGATGCACTCTCAGACGACCTCCAGGTTCTGCAGATGTACGAGAGCATCGGAGGACTCCTCCCTGGCCACCAGAACTTCCGAAGACATGCCGAGAACCGTTGATGTCCCTGCATAGTCACGGACCCTCGAACGTGACAAAGGCCATCAATACATTTTAGAGGCCAAGACCGGAAGCCGCCGAGACAACGGCAGCCACTAGGGGACCGTCTAAAACAAGAAGCACGCTTGCACTGAAGTGGTCCTTCTCGTGCACATCCGAGGCCGGCGCATCATAGCCCGTGATTGTTTCGTCGGGTGGTGTCCAGCTTATCGTGCCACCCAGCTCCTACAATTTCTGCTGGTTGTGCAAAACATACCCCTTCTATTGAGTTGGCAAGAAGATCTCAAATGTTGAAAAGCTTCTGGAGTGCTCGGCAAGGGTTGAAAGGAAAAAGTCGACCCATGGCATAGTCTGTCGTGTACAGGTCCCAAGAAATAGCCATGGGAAATGGCCTTGAGGTTTAGGGTTTAGGGTTAAGGGTCTAAATCGCAAAACATCCATCTTGAAGTTGTCCTCTATCGAGCTCTGCGAGACTCTTCAAGCGGCCGAGACTAAAAAACCTTTTGGCCGCTTTGGAGGTACCAGCAGAGACCCTGCTGCTGGATTGGAAGTACATCGAAGTCTACATGAAATCGCCGGGGGTCAGGGCTCTCAGAGACAGACTTGTCGATTCCAAGAAGTCTTCCTGCCACATAGCCGGTCAGTTTAAGCTTTTTGAAGGCCGAAGAGTGGCCCAATTGAGCCAGCAACGAAACATGCCGAAAATCCTGATCTAGCCAGTGTTGAACATGTGATGTTCGTTAGGTGTGCAGGCCTCTGCAGGCTGCTATGCCGCGATACCGTCTCCGGCGGTGCTAAGTAAGATCTTCATGGAAATATATGGAACCACCGCAACCGAAGAATACACCCCATATATCTTTATCAACTGTCCTGCACCCGATCCCTTTGCCTTCAGCCTGCCGCCAAACACAGCAGGCCGAGCAAACGACGCCCAACAGCCTCGAGATCAGCGACACAGCACTATTGGCGGGGGACTTGGAGATATTTTGAGATGCACGGCGCTGAGGTGTTCGAATGCGGCTCTGCTAACTGCGATAATGTTCGTCAGTCTTTGTTGCCACGGTGGCCGTGGTTGGATTGCATGTCGGCTCATTCGGCTTCAAATCCATCTCCGGTCGTAATGGTGCATGAGGTGGGCATGCGAATGAGCGGCATAGCGAATTTGGAAATCCAGGTTGTGCAATGTTGCGCAGCATGCAAGCTGAGTGGAGCTGTGGCGAAACAGCACCCATGATCAGAGTATGATAGAGCATGCATTCTGCAGGAAAGAGAAAGATGAAAGAGGCTTCTGACTGAGGCCTCGGGGGTGTCACTCATCGACCTCAACCTCGACCCTCTCGCTACTTGGCGGCAGTTGTCTCTGACGGAACCAACCAGACTACTTGGATTCGCAGGCAATCATGTCAATATCATTGCTCTTGCACGGGCCTTTTGCGTCTACTTGGTGCAGCCGATCAATCATGTAATGACAACGTGGAGACGTCAAGCACATGCCCAGGCCGCGCCACACTCATCATGCCTCGTCTGAACCTCCTCCCAGAGATACTTTTGCAGCCTCGATGGCCGAGAGGAGGTCATCACCGAGATCCACACAACGCCACCATCCGTGTCCTCCTACATCCTTGTTGGAGGGTGTGGACGGGTTTGAAAGGTTTTGGGGCTACAACCTTTAGAAGGACACAGCGAACCACTAATGTGTGCAAGCAAACCAGAAAAGGGAAAAACTAAAACCGTACGCTTAGCTTCTGCTTGGTGTCATTGGTGTTCACTGGCAGGTCTGCTGCAACTCTCTTCCAGGCCTCATCAACACAGTTGGCGCGCCAGCTAAGCGCCAATCTAAAGTTGTCAGCTTGAACTGACGGAATGCGTACTGCTGTCATATAGCCTGTTCCATCTGGTAACTCCATCGCCGAGTCCGGTTTGGTGATCGTTGCCTTGGAACCAACCCTTGAAGTGTCCACCTTTAACGTGAACTCTTTCTCGCCCACATAGGTGGAAAGGGTTTCCTTGTCGATTGTCACTCTGATGTGTGGCGCTTTCTCGGGACCATCAAACCAGTCGTGGAATTCTCCACTGCCGGCCAGAAAAAGCCACCTACAAGTGAGATTGCGGTTGTCTTGCAAAAGAGCCACTGGAATGATGTGCATGTTCTTGTACGTCATCTCGCTAGTTACGGCTACCCTCTGGTTCTCCAACCTCTTGCGCATACCAGATGCTGCAGTTGCCCCTGCACCTGAATCTGACTTGGCGTGCTGCTCTGGGCTATCTGGATTACTGTTGTAGTCCGAGGCAAAGACGGATGCAGGGTGTGGTGTTGGGGGTGATGCCTTCTTCCTCTCTACTTTCATGGTATGGTTGCCAAACATCTCTGCACTGACAGCCAGAGCAGCATCAAATTTTTGGAGCTGCCCTTCTGACTGGAACCATAAGTTGAGCTGGATGTTACCGCCGCCCATATGGACAATACATTTGTCTTGGACACCCCGTGCTTCAGCTTGCGCAGCATTGTGAAACAGCCCTCTGCGAGCACCAAACTGTCTGCCCCACCCCGAAAGGACACCAGTGACGTTGTACCACTCGCTTGCCTGGCACAGGGGATAATTCAAAATCAACTTGACTAACAAATCCAATACCCGTAAGCTATCAATTGTTTCTATTTCATTTTCCCTGTCTCAAGCACTCTTTCGTGGCGTTTTTAGCTCTACCCTTGTGCCTAGTCTCTTCTTCTAGTTCTACCATTGTTTCTTTCAGCTTTCCCGACCTCTTGTTCATCGCGTCCAGTTCTTGCTGTTTACAGTTTACAGTTCATCTTGCATTTCTGCTCTATTGTCTTGACTGTATTCCTTCAAGCTTCTCAGGTGTTTCTTCTTCCCTGTCTGCCGTTGTGCCCTTGCTATGTTGGACTTCCTTGCTTCTTTGCTGTCTCTATTTGCTTCCATGTGTTTCCACTGTTTCCACTTCATTTTCTTTTTGCTTGCTCCTTTTTGTTCAACTGTCTTATTCCTTCCTCACGCGCATTTCTTGTCTAGTGCCCTTGACGCATCCTTCCTCTTCTGCACCTGTGCTCTCCCTTGTGCTCTATAAAATGTTTAGTTGCTCAAGCGGCGGTGCTTCACTTTGAATCTTTTCCTGCTCGTCACGTGGTTCAGATTGCTCTCTCCTCTGGCCTGCTCCAATTTGTGGGGGATGTGGAGGAATCCTGCTTTCATCCTCTCTGTTGCAATTTTGTGTCGTGTTTCCTGCTCCCTTTCTTCTACTTGCTACTTTGTTCGGTCTTGCTCCTGCGTCTTTTGCATAACGTCTTGACTGGGTTGTTCTGCTGTGGTTGGGTTCTAGGCATACTTTTGCGATGCTAACTTTCAGCGGTATTTCTTCAGTTTGCTGCCGTTGTGTTATTTTATCTTCCGAAGCCGAAAACAATGAGACAAGCAAAACAAAAAATACGTGTCCAAATTTGTTCGACCAGTGCCTGTGAAGCTGTAGCAACGTCGGCATCAGGGAAGAAGACATACAAAGGCTTTTGGATTTCTTCACCTCCTGTGATTTCAGCAACTCGAAGGTCTGGCTGAAGTGCTTCGGAGCCACCATCTTTTGCATTTTCACTCTCAAAAAGCTGGAGATTCTGAAGACTGATTGCATTCAAGTCGGGCTTCACCTTGTTCTTGACCGCCTCCAGCAAAGCATCCACATCGTGCAACTCTGTGATATTGATCTTGATGGGTCTCACACCGCCTTTCACTTTGACCCATAGATACTTCTCACGTCGTGGAGACCTGCTCCTCTCTGCCATGGCGAGCGCCGGGAGTTGGAAGCATTCTGTGAGACTGTTTGTTCTGTGTTCAGTATGCGTACTGTCTCCAGTGTGTCATGGAACTCCTCAGCCCAAGAGCTGCAGCACATCGAAACTCTCATAACAAAAACAATGCTTCAGACAGCAAACTACGTCGTCTTGGTTTTTAGTTCAGCATTCCACTATCAACTGCACTCATTTGGTTGGTATGCTGCACGTGGTTGTGCACGTTCATAAAAGAAGCTACAGCGAAACGAAAATTGGTTTCAGCAAGCATGCTGCAATTTTCAGCTATTCCAGGCATGTCCATCTACTACAATTTGCAATCAGGACCACCACTAAAATATGAAAAGCAAACAATCTACAGGCGATGACGCCTGAAAAGTGTTCCAGTAACTTTTTGCAAGTTTCTTAAATGGCATCCACCTTACCATCTTCCTGAAGCCTAGTTGAATGATTGAAGTTGCAATAAAGGTTCACTTCTGGTTTGTTCGGAGTTGCGACGCCTTACACACATGAAAGAGATTCCACTGAAAAAAGTTCTGAGCAATTCAAGATTTTATCTATCTAAAATGTTTCAAGCTGATTTCATTTCATTCTTCCATTCCTCCGAAACTTTTCAAAATAAAAAACTATCTGGACTCTTCCCAAAAAAGGTTCAAAAGATGTTCCAAATAAACTCTTCCAAAAATGATGTCAAACAAATATTGTAGGAATCTTTCAAGAAACTCGAACCAAAAGTGTGTTCCAAGAATTTTGCAGATGTTTTTCCCAAACATATTCCAAAATCTTCCAAAACTGATGTCAACATTGTTGCACGCAAAACAAAATCCAAAGATGCGTTCACCGTTTTTGCGAATGTTTTGCGAACACCAACATCGAAAGTTCCTAACAACACTGAAAGGTTAAATCAACAGATGCGTCCAGTATTCTTCAAAACGATTTAAACAGTTTTTCTTTACATTTTCAAAAATCATAGGAACAAATTCTTCCAAGATTCTTCCAGGACTATCAAATCAAAGATTCTTATCAACATTTTCCACACACTCATCTGCAAAGACTCTTCCAAGAATCTTTCAATCATGATGTCAATAGATTTGCCCGCAAAAATATTTCTGGACGAATGGTTGAACTAAGGACCCTCCACAAAATGAGTGGGACAGATTATTCAATTCCTTTTCCAATTGAAGTTCAGCCGGTGTTTTTCAAGAAAATTCCAAGACCAACTTGAAAACGATACCTGCAAGGATCTTCCAAACACACTTGCATTGGTTTTCCCAAGGTTGTGCAAAAAGAACACTTCCAAACATGCGTGCCAACATGTCTTCCGAACATCTTCCAAAACTGATTTCAACCTGATGGCTGCAAACAAGCATTGCGTACATGTTTTTAACGTTCTCCCAAATAGGTTCTGAATACACGTTTGAACCAAATTCTTCCAAAGATTGCCAACAATTAAATCACACGATTCTTCCAATATCATACGACAAAATTCAATGTTTTCCATGCATCTTCAAAAAACACACATATCACACAATTATTCCAAGAAAGGTTTCCTCGAGGTTCCTTCCAAAACAAACTTTGAACAGTGATTTCAACACGTTCGTCCAAGGCTTTCCCAAAAATGACGTCAATCAATTCTTCCAGAAAAACACTTCCAACCATGATGTCAAAACATTCTTCCAAGACCCTTCCAACAATGGTTTGACACGATTCTTCCAGGATCATTCCAAAACAGATGTTCAACACATGTTCCAACTTGACTCTTGCGAAGATGCTTTCAATTCTTCCAAGAATCTTCTATAAAAGAAATCCACATATTTTCCTGAAAATCTGAAAACCAAGTTTGCTAGGTTAATAAATTTACAGTTTCCAAGAATTTATGTCGAATTTCACCTAAATGAATACCTAATGCAAAAATTTGGTGTTTGGTCCCATGGAAAAATGATTGAAAAAGAGGCTGTAACATGCTTTTGAGATTCATGGTTAATGTTTGGCTGCTTTGGTACATGTTTTGGTTCACCTAAGTTTGTTTTCCAATCTGAAACAAATTCAGATTAGTGCTACAAATCCTTCAAAGGCCATGTGTTTTGTCCATATGCAATGTTGTTTTGCACTCATTTCCAATTCTAGAATGACAAATCAGCGTTTCGAAGCGGTTCCAGCAAA